TCTTTCCTCCTCTTCTTTCCTCCTCTTCTTTCCTCCTCTTCTTTCCTTCCGTGCTCCTTCCTTTTTTCTTCTTGTTCCTGTAAAAAACTGAACTGTCTCTGCCTAGTTCAAAAATTTCAAATGAATGGTCGTTATTACGATTACAAAAAAAATTACGCATAAACGCTAGGGTTACCACTAATTTTCCACTCAGATTCTCAACCGATCCGAGTAGATGAAGCAAAAGAAGTAGATGTAGAAGTAGATGAAGGCGGAAGATGAAGTGTCAGGAGCATAATGGATGGAGGTGCATAGTCTCTGCATAACCCAGTAGGAGACAAGTGTGTCTATATATGTGTACACATACATATTTATATACCATTTTGTTATCAGTTCTTCGACGCAATAGTATAGCGTACTAATAATATAGCGTACGCAATTAAAAGTATATTTATTTCATATATACGTGCATTTTTTTAAATAGGACAGTATAGGGAAATCCGAAACCATAGAAGATACAAGAAAACTGTCTTAGGAACCATTACGTCTTTTTTTGTGAAAACAATTTTGGCATAGTCAATTTTTTGGTCAAGCGTGTTGTTCATAAAAACGAGTAATATTAATTAGCATTTTTTTTACTGCTGATCAACTGTTATAATATATAAGGATCATTTCATTGTGTGGGATCAAAAAAATCGGGACAGCAGTAGTTGGTAAAATTTCATACAAAATTAATAAAATTAACTTTTTTTTTAATGCTGATAGACTCTAAGTTATTGATATGAAATCCCGTTCCAAAGAATGATGATTCGGATTTTTTTCGATAATACCTTATGAGGTATTATCGAAAAAAAACCGAATACTATGGTATTATCGAAAAGAAAATCGGGAAAGCAGAAGTTAGTTAAATTTAATATGATGAACGGGAGCTTCACTTGAAAACAATTCAAAGCCCTCAGCTGAGCTGTTCGTCAATAACAGCCTCGATATCAGCCTTTCAACAATTGTCAAATATGTATTACAGCATCTCCTACACGGACGCGAATCTTGCAACAACTAGGCAAACTGATGACTACGTGTCTCGTGCTCAGGATAGATGATTTCACAATTTACAAGGTAACTGACTACTTTAAGAAAAAGGGACGCGTTCAAATTAGATGCTTGTAAAAGCGTTGCACTCACGCGTCTGTCATGCTTCAGTCGCGCGACTGCCGCGCTTTTAAAGTGCGACCAATATTTGTGTTATGTTTCATCTTTTTAAGTCAATTACGCTGTCTATTCTGACCTGGAAGCTTCATTTTGAAGTAATTAAGTTTTTTTATATTAACAGGTATCAACAGGTTCGAAGTCGCGAGAAACGCCGCGTCCTCTAGTGAGCGCGGAGAAAGCGACACTGCCAGGAGACGCAGGGCTACTACATGCTGAGCTTACATTTTTCTATTACCCTGGAGACGTCTGCTTCCCTGGTAAGCTAAAACAGATAAACCTAAAGACTGACAAGGTAGATTACACCACTACCAGGCAAAGTGTCGCTTCCCCACCGATGCCAAGCTGTCTTTTTTTATTGCAATATTTTATTTTTGTTGAATTTTTTGTTATATAAAAGTAACTGCGCATTTGACCTCCATCTCACCTGATGGAAAGAGACAATGAGGTCGACGATATAGCATTCACACCTAAGAAATACCTACTTACTATCGCCTTGAAAAGCTTCAAATTGTAGCTTTCGTGGAAAAAGTCCTCACGCATGGAATTCTACTCCCTAGCCTCTCGCCATATAAATGTGGAAGCGAACCGCTTCGTGCGAATCGTGGGAATATTCAAAACATAGGGATAGAACCCCAGCCCACTTCTAGTCCCCCGATGATAGAAAGAGGAAGACGGAATCAAATCATGCAATTCCATCGCACTTTCTCCGTGAAATATCCTGTAGAATACCGACAAGCAGGCAATTTTACGACGGTGTTCAAGGCTCTGCAGCTTCGCCTCAACTAAATCCAAGTCACCTATAAGCCTCTTGTCACGCTTGCCAATTAATCCAAGGTGGCCAGTGGTTATTTAGCAGAGCCGTCCCATAAGTGGCAGCAGTACTCCATACACGACTGGACTTGACCTGAATATCATAATGTTTTCATTATCATGATATTGGAAAAACCACATTAGTTAGTTATTATTACTGATATAAATATCGAACGTACACAACGAAAAATTCCTTCGCCCCAATTGTCCTCGAACCAGCGATTGTTGCCTTAACGTGGTTAGTAGTCTGTCTTATTTCACAATTCTGCATATTCGACCGCGGGAAACTTGGTGACGTTTGACTGTGGTGATAATTGAGGCTAATTCCGCGCTAGACTGCATTTATATTTCCTTACAGTGCCAGCACCAAAACTTTATGTACAACTAAGCCCAGTTCGCGTATCAGTGGACGTAGTGTCCTTCGTATGGCTGGGCGCGTTTCTACCGCACGTGGCACACGCCGCGTCCGCCGCCGCCGACGAAAGTGAGCAAGAGGCTTATATGGATGTTAGAGCTGAAGCTATTATGCCGAAGGTGAGATTTATGTTGCTTTGGTATTCACTCCTAACATAAGTACGATTCTAGACTCATTCATAGCATAACATAGCTGCAAGGAATGGCGTGTCTGGAGCCTAAGACGACATCTTTCAAGAATAAAGTAACTGTGCAATGATAAATATGATATGATGCTATAGATAACGTAATAGAGCGTTTTATTATTTATAAACAAATATTGTTAAACTTCTGGCTACCGTACATAAACATGCTTATTTTTAATATCATGAGTTGAACCTGTATTGACAGATTTATTAAACTGAACCTAAAAAAATTATGAACTAAGCGATGTCACTTTTAGAGTGACAATTGTTTGTTTACATTTTTGGTCTGGATTTCTATAGCTGAGTCATTGACTTACAAATAAATGGACGACGGGTCTAATACAAAAACCACGAAAACAATGTCCCAAGTCAACCTATTCGAAATTTAAATTGTAATGTCATCGCAGTATCGCGCTATCAGTCGAACAAATGAAGACTAAAGCGGAGTTTGGCGCTCTGTATACGATTTTAGCGCCTTACAAGTGCGGACACTTTTTAGCGCGGACCCGACGTCCATGTAATTGTAAGTCAATGAGCTGAGTATATATTAGTATTCTGTGTGCGGTAAAAAATATTTTATGAACTCATTCAATTCATTACCCAGATCGTGCTGGAAGCAGGCCCAGAACACGTATCCCAACAACGGGATCGCCCGAAAGAATTGCAGCTGTGTACAGCACGAGCTACTCTCACCAATGTTCGAGAATCACCTAGATCCAGTAAGTTTTTAATCATGGATGAATCCTAATGGAAGCTACATTTGCGTTATCTTAGAAGTATACTTAGTATTAATTTGTCCTTAATATAGAATTTAGAATGCACTTAGTACTTGTTTGATTTGTAAACTCTACGCGCTTGCGATGGTAACCCAGTGGGAAAATGTTTGATGTAAATTGAAAGGTTCACGGTTCGAAGACTTGTGGCGGCATATATCAACAGGTATTTTAATTTTTAAGTTACGTACATATGTGAAGGTTTTGTGGAAGGAATACAAATGTTTATTGCTTTCTGAGCTAGACTATTCGATTTGCCTTAAATAAATCGATACAAAAAATCATTAGATCGTATCCTTGAAGACTGTAAGGTAAAAAATATTTTTATATCGAAATTTGTAATAATTATGGAATTACACCAAATTCCGTATTCGTCGTTTCTGCCCACGATTTCGGGCAGTAATGGATTGAGACCCGGTGCTTTGGGAAAAACCCGATTAAAACCCGGGGGGTTGATTTGGTTTTAACCCACTGCCCATCTCTACTCGCTAATGACAAAGGAATACATCGTGATGAAACCTGCATATCGAAGAAGCTTCATAACCTCTGGAAAACGCGTGAAGTCGCCAAGCCGCATTGAGCCAGTGCGGCAAACTATAAAATGAATGAAAAAAATTACTGTGGATCTTCGACCAAATATTTTGGTAGATGCACCATTCCACACAACATCAAACCTAAACATCAATTGTGTCAAGTTTACTTATGTGCACACCTCTTTAGTTATTTAGAAAGTAGTCCTAATGTGTGATATAATTCACTCTAATATAGATCTTAAAACTTCAGAAATATTGTCGTAATACATCTGTGTAAGTTTCTACCTATTGTCTTGAACGATGGAAAGTAAAATTTAATGACAGCCAGACATTAAACAAGATATTAAAAAGGGGTATTGTGAAACTATGAAACAAAGTGCAAATTAATCACAAGATAATGTGAATTACGTCATTTTGACACTGTCGTTTGCCGTTTCGTTTCGATTATGATCGACAGCCGAGAGAGTAAAAGGCATAGATGCATATATAGCGCACACGGTGTTAATTAACAAAAAATATATTGTAAAATACGATTAAAATGCCTTGAATTAAAAACAATAGATATGGCAAATACGGTTGTTTGTCAATAATTAATTATACTGTTATGCCATTTTTCAATATTACATATCTTATGCCATATTTCATGTACCTACTGTAAACCTATGTTGACGAATATATTAAAATTTTTCAATAACTATTATTGTGAACTGTTGTCAGATGACCTGTTATTCCGCTGTTTCGCAGTTTTGCATGCAACATGACAATGATAGCAAATGAATATTGTGTTGTGTTGCCAAATGGTTATATTTCTTACTTTCTCAAACACGTATCTTATAAAGAGTGATTTTTCAGGAGAATCAAACATTTCTATTTATTTCAAATTTCTTATCAAGGATGTTAATTTGGATGCATTACTTTAAGAATCCAGAAAAGCCAGTGTGTGAATATGAAAGAAATGTGATGTGAAATCCGCCTGCAAATTTGTTAATACGATGCATTTTTGCATGTCAATTACTTTGTGCTTTAAGATACGAGTCAGAGAAAGTAAGGCAACGATTTTTCATAACTTTTGATTTAAGTTCTCGCGTATATGTAGGTAATTTTTTAATATCTTTAAATTCAACTGTATTTGTTATTATGAATCCTAATTAGTTTCCGAATTAAGATTCCTAACCGCACCTAAATTAGGCAAAAAACCAACACAAAGATATCTCAATTCAATGATCTTATACCCAAGATATGTTACGTTCATAGTAATCGACGTTTGAAATCTGTCGCGCTACCTATATAAACTTTTCCAAATCGCTCGTCACTTGCGTTAAGTGGGCATCAATGATTATGACTTTGTTGAACAGAATTAAATTCCGAAAAGTAGGTGAAAAGTAGAACACAATGGAAAAGGAAAACAAATCTATATATACAAATGCTATAAATATGAAAAAAACTGTGTCTCTCTGTTACTTATGACTTTGCTGTAAGAAATGTATCAATGTTTCGAATATTTAGATAACTAAATGTGAACTCAAATTTTCATAATCTCGGAAATCGATTTATAACAAAACCAGAGGACAAAAGTAACGAGAACCGACACTCTCCGCCCCTCCCTAGCTTTCGATACCGCACCACACCCCGCACATTGACGGTCACATTGACTGACCGGCAATAAGGCTGTCGGCGAGCTGTTTTCGCGCTAAGGCTTTGATATTTGAATATAGTTTTCATTTATTTATTATGAAGCTTACGTGAATATGTAATATAATTTTACGTTACTATTTATAATGGTTGTGAATTGTGCTGTGTACTGCTGTTTATCAACATCTAAACAGGATAAACAGAGGAGTTCTTTTGTTTTCCGAAAGATGAAACGAAGCAAGTAAAAAAGACTTGTCGGAGACTCATTCAGTTATTGTTTTCTTAATTTATTTAGTGCAGAGTAACATACAATTATATCAATATAATGAATGAGATGCCATAAATTCGTGACCTAGTAGACAAGGGTTCTCGAGTTTTCAATTTGTATTGCCGATACATATTACGTAGTGAATATATCTACTTATTAACTAGGTAATGATAAACTAACTAATAAGGACACGCAGTCTCAAATACCTTTGTTACCTTATTTAGAAGTACCTGTCCAAAATATAACGTTTTAAGTGCTTTTAATATATTTTTTAAAATAAATCTTCAATATTGTTCTAGTTAGTAAATTAATAATATTAATAGAATTATATATAACAAATTTAGAGTTAGAATTTTCGCTATGTTGCCGCTCTGACCACGTAACGTAATAGTACGAGATAGTGATAGGTAACCCTGCCACTTTACGCACACATTTGCGCATGTGCAGATAGCACCCTGCTGTGTGTAGTAGTAGTAGGTAACTAACTTTCGAGCGTTGTATGGAGTTTCCGGGATGTGACAAAACTTAACCTAAACCTAACTAAAAAATCATTTTGAAAATAATATTAACATCAAAGCGACTCTATAGTTTTTTTTGTTCTAAATGTTTCAATCGCTAGTGGTTCGAACAGTAGAAATTGACGTCATGGATCTCTTTTAGTCTTTTGCTCATGCAATGTGTAGGATAAGGACGTTAGCTATTTTGATTACTTTGTATATAAGTTTTACAAGTTTTTATTTCATAGGGCTCACTATAAGTTTCCGGAACTGGCTAGTTACATAAACAATATTTAAAAAGTAATTATAACATTTGAAAATGGAACTCGTTGACTGTACAATGTAGTTTGTTTCATCTGACTGTCACTTGTTTTGTCATTGTGCATTGTGGCGTCATTTTAGAAATTGGTTGTCTACATCACCATGGATTTAACTCTGAAACTGAACATTTTCATAGTATGATTTTCTACGACATTAAGTGTAAGTTAATAGCTCAGCGAATGAAGCACCATGCAAGACGACCATTTATAGCTGGTTTGCAGAATTCAAACGCGGTCGTGTGAATCTCAGTGACGAATTTCGTGATAGTCGCTCGGCCACTGCTGTGAACACCAAAAACATCGATGCTGTGCGCCGTATGATCAAAACAGACAGGTATGTGACATACCATGAGATTCGGGTATCTTTAGGCATACGCGTGAGTCAAATACAATAAATGCTACACAAACATTTGGGTGTGTAGAAGCTGTGCTCGCATTGGATCCCACACAATTTGACTGAGGCTCAAAAAACGGATCGCGTCACTTGGTGCAATGCTATGCTTACAAGATTCAACGAAGGGGCGAAAATTTGGTGTGGGACATTAACAGTGGGTGGGACAGTAACAGGCGACGAAACATGGATTTATAGTTACGATCCCAAAACAAAGCAGCAATCGAGCGTATGGTTCTTTCAAGATGAGCCGAAACCAACCAAAGTGGCGCGCGTGCAAAGTGCCTCTAAGCGGAAGATTGCTTCTTTTTTTAACAAAACATGACACATGGCTTGTGTTGCTTTGGAGAATTGTTGTACCGTGGATAGTGATTGGTACACCATCATTTGTTTGCCGGAAGTTATTGACAAACTCCGTAAAAATAACCGTTAATCCCGTATCATCTTGCACCACGATAATGCCAGTTCTCACACGGCCAGACAGATAAATGAATTTTTGAAGGTGAACAACGTTGACCTTATGAGCCATCTCGCGTACAGTCCCCACCTGGCGCCTTGTGACTTTTATTTATTTCCAAAAATTAAGAACCAGTTACGCGGTCAACGATTTTCATCACCTGAAGAGGCTGTCGAAGAGTATGAAAAATATGTTTCAGAGATTGTTGGAGGAGTGACATAAATGTTTTCCAAATTGGTTCATTCGTATGAAAAAGTGCATTAACACTAACGAAGAATATCTTGAGAAACAATAAATTCATTTCTGACCATTTATAATATTTTTTTCTTATTCATTCCGGAAAACTTATAGTACCCCACATACACAGTATGGCATGATTGACAAGCGCGCTGTCGTTCGACCAAACGACGCGCGATTGATGCTCTGTTTACAGTTTAATGCTCTACAGTTTCGTACACTTTTTAGCGCGGGCCCGACGTCCATTTATTGGTAGGTCAATGACCTTTGAAATTTAGATACTTTTACAAATATTGTATTAGAATGCTAAAAATCACGCAATTGTTAAAGACATTCAATTCTATCGCCGTTTGTTTTTTATTTAATTTATTTTATTCGACGTTAAGATGTATTTTAAATGCTTTAAAACGCTCCGTAGTAAAAATTAATATTTGGCACGTAAGGTTCTTTACCTCTCACCTACTGATATGTATTGTGTTTTTGTTAAATTTTAGATACTGCAGGGACTCGTGCGGATTTGGCAGCTATTTTGGCGGCTCTCCAGCGTTCAGCGCCACCTAGAGGACAGTTCCCGTGCTCGTCTGACGATCTAGACCCGATACATGAAAAGTTTATACTGCACGCTGATAGTAAGCACATTTCGTCCTTTATAACACTAATTACAAGTGGAAGTCTATGATCTTCGCCTATCCCGACGAGAAAAGGACATTAAGTGTATACATGGCCATCACCTTAAAATTTTGGCGATGTTTTTTTTATTATTTTATAATGTGCCGGACCAGATAGACAACTATTACCCGTTCAGATCAACTAGGGAATTCCCGCTATGAGTACCAGAGTAAAAGCGTTTATGCACTACTTTCGATTCGTATCAGTTCCGAGTCTGAGAAATGACAGGCCGAAATGTCACAGGGATCATTATATCTCTAGATGTACAAGCGATATTCGTATTTTCTCGGATCGGATGCAGTACACAAACGCGCTTACTATGTTTATTCCGGGGGCATTACCCAGCACACCTAAACCACCTGCGACCGATCTTCTAACACGACCTGCAACTCAGTAGGAAGAGCAAGGGGACGGTACTCCCGTGGTCGCAGGTAGAGTCCTTTCGGGTCGAAGGAATTTTTCTTCGTCTTCGGTCTTTGTATTAATAATTGCACCTAAACCAGTTAAAGGAGTTCATTTACCCGGTTGGTCCTTGTTGTAATTGTGGAAGAATGGGTGAGTGAGGCGGCAGCAGAATTAAATATAATGCTTCATCACTATGAAAACTGTTTATTCAGACAAAACACTGTCACGACCACAAGAATCACAAGGATACGGAACCAACCATAGACTGCACAAAGTGGTGTTCCAATAGACCACAGTCCTAACGGGAATCGAGGCGGCTCTCCTCATCAACCGTCGTAATATATTAATAATAATGTTTGTTTCTATAGAAGTTACAATTAATGGGTACATAAAGGTCCTAGGAATTTTAAGTCATATTACATATTTTGAAGGAGCTGGCGCCTGTTAAATGTTTAACCAAAATATTACAGACAAGTAGTCCAACTCGCAACTCGGTTTTCACATTATTGCTTTCCCTCTACGTACAGGTTGTAAATAATTTGAAATAAAGTATTCATTACAGTATTCTCGTGCTATATTGAAATAACCATTGTCAAATACGGTACTTACGTATTGATTTTTATTTGCACCAGCATCACTGATTGGTCTGTTGAAAATCGTCTTAAATGTCAAGTATTACAAAAACTATTTCAAGATTATTGTTGACGACCTCGGTGGCTCAACCATTTCCATTACGAGCGCTGAATGCGGAGGTCCTGGTGTGGGTTACCTACCGGGCAATGGACAATGGAGAAATCTTGTCTATAGTCTGGAGGTAGTTTTATTGAACGGATACCACACACATAAGTACATAAATCACAAGCATAGAGAAGAGAAATTAGTAGGCAGGCAATAGTGAAGGAAGAGCACAAACACACTGGATAAAGCTTAGCACGCAGTGAGGCGAGGAAAGCATAAGCACGTAAATAGGCGCGCGGACAAGAAAGTGACGTATTCCGTAGTTCAGGTGCTCAAAGTACACAGAATTCTCTAGTTTGAGACCAGGCAATTGTTGTGGTTGTCTGTTGTGGAGAAAAATAAATAGGTATTTATTTATTTAATCTTACTTCATAGATCTAGACGATATAGAGCGCGGCACTGCAGTGACACCTGAGATGCTATGGCGGGAGAACAGGTCAATATGGTGCGCAAGAGTGGAACCGCTATGGGCAGACTTTTGCGGTGCCAGAGCCACCAATTACAAACCTGCGCCACTGCTTGATGCCACGCCTCTTACTGCCTGGGTACGTATCAAAAATCCGAATGTATTTGTCCTGCATATCCCACTGGAGTAAAAGACTCAACAGTAACTTGTCAGATGTTACAATTGTACAAGGCCAATATGAGTATAATTAATGAAATTGTCCAGATGTGCTTCGATGATGGTCTCTCGCACATCTGGGTGGTGGCACGCACGTGCGGGCTGGCGGGACTGCAGCTCAACCACTACCAGTTGCTCTTCCTCATGAGGCAGCTGGAGCGCATCTCAGAGATGACCGCTTGGCTTGCTTATGATACTGCGAGACAACCTGAAGCCGATAACGGGTGAGTTTAAATCTGTACTGTATCATCTCATGTGCTTTTCATTACCGGGAACGGATTCTCTGTGAAGAGGGGATTTATGTTAGGTTAATAATTTGTCAATATGCAGGTTTCTAAATGATCTCGGCCACCTTAGAGACGACGGCATATAGTATGGGTATAGAATAATGTAGCGAGACTGCCTGAGATGACTGGAGCGACTAGTTGCTAAAGATCTAATAAATCTACACACTTCATGGTGCCAGATGGCAAGGAGAGTCACTTAGACACAACCAAATAACTTCTTTTGGTATTAGTGGGTAAGATCCACTTGATTCGCTGAGTTTTAATAGCAGCAGAGCTCATTGTGAAAGAGTTCGTCCAGGGAAGTAATGCCACGTGACCTATTTCTGCCGCCAAGCAGTAATGTCAGCATTACTGTGTCCAGGTTGGAAAGGTAAGGGTGCTGGTGACATTACAGGCCCATGGGACTTATCAAACTTATGTCTCAGGGTGACGGGCCAGTGCCCCTTAGATCTTTGCGATTTAAAACTCTGAGTGGCACTGCAATTGTTATGGACATATAGCTTATCATCAGGCTCACGACTTGTTCGACCCGTCACTTGATATTATAAAAAAAAATAGTTTATATTTTATAGCAGTGAGGTTGTTTTTTATGCGGACGATGGCGTAGAAGTCATCTACCCTATAATGGGTAGTAGCATTATAATAACAGAACATACAAATCTCTTTTAAGCCTCCGTGGCCGAACAGTTACCATGGTGGTCCACCACGCAGAGGTTCCGGGTTGGATTCCCGGGCCGGGAGAAATATTTGTATGACCTACTTTTATTTCTCTCGTGAGTTTGGGTGTAATTTGTGGTTGTCTATGTGTGTGTCCATGGCACCCGCGTTACAGGGTTTCCCTAATATGGGGCTATGGGTTTAAACTAAAATGAAATTAAATTGTTTATTTTTTCAGATCTATAGTAGTAGGCGCAGTGGTTCCCGCGGTGGAGTTAACGATAGTACTTCCCTCCAACTGTCCAGGACTAGAGTCTTCCCGCGACCTGGACAGCGTGCCGCTGGATTCCTCCAGCCTTCAAGACCTGAAGATGGGTAAATGTAATAATAATAATGGAACTCAATCGAAGGCCATTACGTGTCTCTTTCGTTATCATTGTTAACAAAATATACATTAAATGTTGGTTGTGTTTCATTTACTCTTAGAAAAAGTATATTGTATGCACTCATCATTGACCTACCAATAAATGGACGTCGGGTTCGCGCTAAAAAGTGTCCGCACCTATAGTCTTCGTTTGTTCGAGTTTCAGCGCGGTTGTCAATCATGCAGTACAAATAATAACTTGTAAAAATTACTGCAGTAATGTGTGAAAACAGGATTTTGTATCATATTTTCACTAAACAAATATATTGTGTTATCATAGTTGTCATTTAAGAGTGTTATTTTGTACAGTTTTATAGTATTTAATTTATATATAACTGAATCGTAAATATAAATTACAAAAACACCCGAAATAATGAAATAGCTAACTGTCCTTTTACTCATTGCATACGCAAAAGATGGAAAGAGACTCATGACGTCAATTTCAAGAAGCTTATATAAACTTCTTGGTCATTTTCAGTTATTCGAATCACAAGCGATTGAAATATTTAGAACAAAGAAACTGTAGAGTTGCTTTGATTTTGATCCTATTTTTAAAATGTTTTTTTTTTTATTAAACGTTAGCAATAACTAACAAAATATTATTGTACTCGTTTTACGGCATGGGATTACTTATCAGAAGTCAGAAAATACATTTGCCCGAAATAACATTAGCTCGAATTTTCATAATGTGTTTTTATGAACATTACAAAACAAAAGCTAATTTTTTCTATGTAAAAAGCATCAAAATTACTCGAAAGCGTAACGGTTTTGTTATAAATCGGAATTACGGATATTTGAGTTTACGTTTAGTTAGAATATCGGTACATTTCTTATAGTACACGCTTATTTTCACATTTGTAGTAATAATTGTATGTATGTATCTGCCCAACTCTTTATTATACCTTTAAGTGAATTTGTACAAAATTCGACATATATATATATATATAAATTAATTAATATTTACGAGAAAGGCTATTCCATTGCTCTTGTGTTCAAGTAATTTTCAGTCGAAGCTAAATATGGTGCATTTAGTTAAATTTCCAGTAGAAGTTGAATATGGTGTTTTTGGGCCTTAAATTGTTGTAAGCAAATTTAGGCAGTACTGCAATGACGTTATAATTTAAATTAAATATTATAGATTTTTATATTTCGTTACATGTCACTATAGAACCTCGGACGTTTTTTTCGTGGTTTTTGTATTAGACCCGATACCCATTTGTTGGTAGGTCAATGGCAATCATTATATATAATTAGGTCTTAAAATCTCGTACCTATTACTTAGGCCACTCGGCAAAACACGGCACTCTACTTTAAGAAAGGACCCTTATTATGCAACTATTGTATACCATTATGTCAATTGTATAATATACAGACCACTGAACATCAAACTACAAATTGACGGATCTTGTTCCATTGCAGCTGAGGTGATATTCGAACAAAAATGTATAGCTTGATTGATTAGATACGAGCCAAATACTGGTCGCGCGTCTCGGGAATTCCCGCAGCTACTACTGTCTTTTTTGAAGACGGAGTAAAATGACATTTGCAGAATTACCAGTTTTCATAACATTTCAAGAAGTCATGTAGTTGTTGTCGACAGTTTTATCGATAAATTATGAAAGAAACTATAATTTTGCCAAAAATGTCTGAATTGTGAATGTTACAACGTTGTAATTATTACTAATTGTGTAATTGCCTTCTTTATTCTTATTTTGACAGTTGGCCTACTAGTATCGAAATCAATTTTTATTCGTATACATTTTAATAACAATAGGCGGATATAACAATCTATATTGAATTAAAATGAAAAGCTTTAAGATATGTATCCTCGTTGTATTTTTAATAAACATAGTTCTAAATGCAGTGTATGTACATATTAAATTACAAAAACTGGCAATTGTGACGCCTCAACAAGCCACACTAAATTAAGCTTAGCGTAAATTGAGCTTTAGTCGCTATACAACCAAATATCTGAAGTAAATTGACAGCTTCAAACCAATATGGAATATTGTGAACTTTTCTTACTAATAACAAAAGAAGCATATCCGCTGAATTTCAGTTTGCATTTATCCGATTAAACACCAAAATCCAATGCCTAAGGTTCCGAAGCAACAATGGCGCCCTCAATGATGGATCGGGACAACACAAGTTTACCGCCCCAAGCGTCCATTGAAATCTGCTCGGCGCAGCCGCTGCCCGCTGAGGAGATACCGCCGCCCAGTCCGGGATTGAGTTTCGGAGGTATATTTCACATGTAATCATTTCAATCTATTAAGTATTATAACACCATTTCGTTTCACCCTTTATATGCTACACATTTTTATAATTGTACACATTTTATTGTTGTTTTTCTCTATAATCCATAGTTATAACTACTACTCTGTTCAGGCGACATGCCTTTTGCAGGATTCTCATCGATGCGTCGAGGGTTTAACTCACTGGTGACGTCGATCGACAGCGCCCTTACACGTGACGATACAAGAAGCGACGCGGCGTCGACCGCGAGCTCGGATAGCGATCGTTATGTAGTCGTTGGATTGGCGGCCGAATCCCCTGACGACGCTGACTCTGCCTTTAGGTAACAAGGCTGGCTGTAATAATTCAGAAATAATTATTTTACGAGCACGCGACTCCGCTAGAGTGAATGATCACGACATTTCAAGGTATTTTGGGCTTTGTAAAGAGCATGACTCCACACAATTTGCGGTTTATAATTGTTTCCGTACAAAAATTCGTATGTTTTAAGGCGCCATCTATTCTCTAAAAGTTAACAAAAAAAGGTAACAAAGTAATTTGCTTCCATTTTTATTCTACATAGTTCAACTTTTAGCCAATAGATGACGCCCCAAAATATTAGCAAAATCGCAAACTAATTTACTTACATTTTTATGAATATGGATTTTCGCCAAGTAAATCCTGAATCTATAAATTAACATTTACAATTGTTAAAAAGTCACGTCAAGCTTCGATAATGTGCCTATCGTACTTTTTTTTATCTTATAGAGAGTTCGAACACGGGCGTGTATCTAGCGGTGTAGAAGTTGCAGCCGAAGTGGTAGAACGATCATCCTCGCCTAGCGACCACTCTGTTACGAGCTCATGTAGACGACGAGATATGGTAATTTGTATCCACTAAGTGCTAACAGAAAGATCTGGCCGTATTTCAGCTAGTGATCGTAACTGACAATACTATAAACAACAAATTTGTGCACTGTGTCAATGTCGTAAATTACAATTTACTGTTTTTATAGTTGTGGGCCGCGGTAAATTGTTTTTGATAAAGTTTTTATCACAAGTACTATCAAACTTACCTCCATCAACTGGTTGGACCACTTTGTTACCCTGTGCATACTCTCTTCTCTTCACCCTCTATGATGTCGAAAACCTTTTTACGTTACAAGTTACACTTTATTGTCATTCATTTTGTGTTCAATTTAATACGCGTTGATACGCCTATAGCGTTTTTTTTTAAATTTATTTATTACATTTAAAGCACTAAAAAAACAAAACATTCCAGTATAATATAAACTTAACTAAGTTTTTCCGTATACCGCTCATTCGTCGTCGTCCAAATATTTTCTGTGTAGTGTGTGCGTTCGTACTGCTGCGTGTTGACATTCTTCTACAAACTATCGGGTATTTAAGTCGAATTATGCTCGACGTGTTTCGAACCAGTTCGTCCTTTGTACATGAAATTCCGCGACGGTGACTACGCGCCAAAGCCCTGGTAGCCCGATCATTCAGTACGGCTGCGGGCGCAGGCGGCGTCGGCGAGCAACTACCCTCGTTTTATTCATTTTTATTAAAGCCATACACTATACTAACAACGTCACTTTCTAAATTCTCTGTTTTCCAGCCGGGGGGTACCGACCATCCACTATCACGATTGAAATTCGAATGACGACCAATCTCGATAGCTTCACGTACTTTCCGTGGAATGAAATGCTTTTCTCTCGCCAGTACGGACACTTTATCAAAACGAATATAGTGCGTCGAATCCGAATCCAATGAGTGTTCCGTGACTGCAGAGCCCCGGTCTCGGTTCTGCATACTTAAGATTAGTAGCTCACGAACTCTCATGATGTGTGAATTGGGAATGAATTATAACCACTTAGCAAAAAAGACATCATCAAACCTGTATATCACATTACTGGGCGTTTACCAGGTGTTGTGAACCTTTGTCCATAAGCAGGTTTTAGCACGATATTTTCACGTAAGTTACAAATTAAAGTCATAGGTACATACCGCCACAGGTGTTCAAACTGTAGACCTGACAAATGGGAATGAACCTTTCTCCCATCGCCTGATATAAAAAAATAATAACAAAAATCGATTTATAAAAGAAACTAAAACATTAAATCGACTTGATATAAAATATACTGTACTGGAATAATATAATATACTGGAATTGTTGAGAAATATCTCCTACTATAGAATAGTTAAAATATATAGCCAAACATCTCTGTCCATTAAAAATGAACAAAATGACAAATCATAGTTAGTTTTAAGATGAATTTGGTAGCAATGATGAATAAATAAATTAATTAATTAAATGTACTTTTTCTATGTTTAAAATAGGTGAGAACGAATTTTTGTCATCAGATATCGACATGCACGTGGCGTCTCAATAACATCCACTTAGTACACCAGAGCGGCGGCGGGAAGTCCTGTCTCCGATTGGTAGCCGACGATCTCAACACTGACGAATGCTCTGCCATTCCTTGGGACGAATTTCAGGTACATTCACATATCACTTTAGATAGTAACAGAAAATCATTACAACGTCACTGAACACTTGTCAAAACGAACATTAACATTAGCGTCTAGAAAACGTGCCTTAAGCTTAAGGCTTAAGTCTTTGTCTTAAGATAACCTAAGTGGCGCCACGTATTATACAATTAATCTGAACTTTTGGAACTCTTTAATAACTTTATTATATTAGACGAATGGTTTTCACACCATCAAGCGCAACAGATGCACACCGGTTCTAAGCAGAGTGCGCGTTTACTCGAACAGGATCCTTAACAGAGTCCCATGCTGGAGCCGTGGGTGCGCCTACATACGCCCGTTACATGCTTTGCACATAAGCTATTTGTATGTAGTTCTTTTTGTGAATTAAAGCAGGTAATAATAATACTAATTTTTAAGAATCTGTTTTTTACGCACATGGTCTAAGTGCCTAAAATTCATTATCATCACAGTAATGATAATCCTCAATTATTACGTCCCAAAATATAAATTAACAAGTAAATGTTCGAACGTAGAGCTTAGACGTGAAAGACTATAATATAACCATAATAGGTAAACTCTGAACTTTTGCACGGAGGCTCCTCTCGGTAAAAGAACACACAGACAGTAAACAAAAGTAAGTTATTAAGTTAACCAGTAAGATGAAGTATACTAGTGCCTTGTGTGCTAATAAGTTGTATTTAAGTGTCGAAAAGGCGCCACTTTTTCTTAAGGGAAGTGTTTTTTCACGCCTCATCACTGTTAAACATACTATAAAAAATCTTTGATAATAATGATAATGATTCCTAATTTTGTAATCAGATGGCGCTAATATAAGTATAAGCTTCTTGCACGTTTTCTATATTAAAAATGTCATTAAACAATTTGAAATACTTGACAGTTTATATATATGAATATACGAATTTCGTATATAAAACATCACATAACGATAAAAGTAAGAAATGAATTGATCATTATTTATAAAAGCATGTTTAAAACGTTTTATTTATTTGTCGACCTTCCGTTTGATCATTACCCCATTCTGAAGTCTCTACCGAGTTAAAACCTAGATTTCCGGCATAATTTACAGACCAAAAAAATTGCTATATTCATTCAAAAATATTTAATTTTTGGACAAAACTAACAGAAAAATCACAGCTGGATTAAACGCGCGCGCCTATGTTAACCGTATTTTTAACGTGAGTTTGCGCCGGGTCAAAATGTAACAATTTTATATGGTAATGAATGCAGCAGCCCTAGCAGTCACAAGGAGCATTAAAAGTTTCTTTCTAATTATTTTACTCAGTCCCCAGCGATGAACCCAGTAAACTCATCTTTGGGGCACTGGTTGTATTTAACAAAGGTTTCTGTAAAATTGCCAACAAAAGAAATCCATGTTTTATCTGCTATCAAAAATTGTTTCATAATAATTATGGTAGAGACTTGGATCTGCATGGTTGTACACTATCACCTACCACAACCCATTGTATATCGTATTGTTGTCCTCGCATAGCACGAGAACACAAGTTTTTTAATTTTTTGCAAATTTCGTCGAATCTTTAAGAGGTCCCCGTGCAGCAAGGCGTTCCGCGTTTAAGTGTTTTTGCATTCTCTCCTGTAAGCTGGATATTGAAGAACGCGATCGGAAAACCTTCTATGCGTTATGCTTTCAGATCACTTGTAACGTATAACAAAGAACACAGAACGCGAACGCCTTCTATGTGCGGTATCCCTTAATGAATATTTTAAAAGTGAACTCTCTTTTGCTCACCATTACTAAAATTTTTGTGCCATTCCTTTACCAATCAATGTTGCAAAATATTTCAATATTTTCCAAATTTCTGATATATTGAAAGATTTCGGTCTGCTAGCAGGGCTCGCAGCTTCTCCATTTTGCTGGATACTGACAAGTTAAAATACATTGCAAGATACGTCTGCCCCATATTTGATCGAATAAAATATGGATTGACCTGTCACTATCGAGCAAAATTGCTCGCGACTAGTTTGACCGGTGATTATCCGTTTTATCTGTTAATAAGAACGAGTATTTTTTTTAATTTCCGAAATAATATTGTCGCATTGATTAACTGGTATCCACCAAAAATTTGCCCTATAGGATTTGATGGCTATCTAATTGGATTGTGAAAATTCTAGTCGTAAAGCAAAATAACCGATGCATAAAACTCCTTGTGTTCTTGTGGCGTGTGACCTCTCGCTGTCTAAACTGAAAACTATAAATTGTTGCATCCATTTTTTCTCTAACTACATGTCTATGTGTTCTGGCATCGCCCGCTCGGCTATCGCAGATGCGACTCAAGGTATTGCGGTCCTAGGATCGGTGTCACCAGTAGAAATTGTTGCGTGATAGAATTGTAGTTGTGTCGTAGCCAAGGGGGTTTGTGTGGAGAATGATCAAGACAAAGATATTTCCGTTTTTTTAATGTTTTTTTGTATAAACTTACAACTCGAAATATTAGTATATGTTACGGCTCTATCAAATCCATTATCTTAATTAATTGTAAAAAGTGGCAACGCCCAAGTACGTGAATAAACTAAGTTTCGCAATAGTTTATTTGCTCGTAGTTTTTAACAGGCGCCTTTTGTACGTTATTGTATGACGTGTATGTATGTTACCATAACTTTGGTATTTAATTCAAGAGATCATACCCTTTTTCTTGAAACAGTATTTATATTTTCTTTTTATATTTTATATTTTTCTTCGTATTAAAATTACTAAGAATCATTTTATTATAGTTGATAAAACGTACCGAATGTCGTAAGGTTCAGTTTGTAACAAGTTTTGCAACTCCAGAATTCTTTGACTTTGTATGCATTTAATGTACATTAAGACAATATACCAACACAATAGTACCCAATCCTATCAATGCTTTTATTACGGCTAATCAAATTATAATCAAGGAGAAACAAATAAAACTGAACATTTCTTATAATGCCTTGTTTACAATATGGACAAATAGTGAATAAATCTATTTTAAATACTGCTCTCCTTGTCATAACCATATATACCCCCTATAAGCCTTTTTTATATCGTATTAAGTCTCGGTTTTATTGTTAAGCAAAATTGGCATATTTGACATTTGTCTGACAAAATAAAAACTTTAGTTACCAACATCTTGAAAGTTTGACTAGGAGGGCTATTATATATAGATAATATTGATGAATATGTATGTTAAAAAAATGTTCAGAGATTTCAAGACCCCAAATTAAAATCAACGTAACGCCAAAAAGTATATTATAATTTGGAACGTATTTGTGATTTATGCTAGTGTATCGAAGAAGGGGAAATTTCGTAAAATTATTGCTAAAGCTATTTAGACTTGAGAAACATGAATTTTGAATAGGAGCCAGTATTCATATTTCACTATTGGCTATCATAAAATGTGACCTAAACACACACTTGTTGCCGCTTTATCATCTGCAACAGATATTTTCCTTCGTGCGACCTCAAAAATTTATTTACTATAAACTATTATGTTTATCGAATCTCTTGATTTAAAAAAATAAAAAACTAAAAGTGACGACTGTAAACCACGAAGTTTTATTGTAACATTCTTTAACATATCGACTGTGAACTGGCAATCGGTTCTATCTCAATTTTGACAACTTTACAGGATGCTGTTCACAGTCGATATTTTATGTTTAGGAGACAAATTATGAACACACCGTTATCGATATAAGCCCTAATGCACGTAAGTTAAGAATATTAACTAAAATAAATGATTCACATGATAATGTAGAATCAAATTCTGAAGAGCTGAACTGGAACTAAATTATAAATAACATTTTCCCATCTAATCTTTAAGTTACGTACATCACTTTATTGATGAAAATTCACATGCGATGGTTTCGAGTGAACAATTACACAGACAGTAAGGTTTAGTTATCACTGTTACTTATTGCAATCCTAAATAGATTTTATTATTGCAAAAATAAAACGGAAATATCTTTACAATTGCTTCTTTGCTATTTTTTTCTTATTTATGTTCACTAAGTATAGTCTTAACCTTTGCCTGAATAAAGCAACGCGCAGACGACGTTCTTTCTTGTATGCAGATCAGCACCCGTAGCATGGCTACGCGACGTGCGCAATAAAATTGAAATATGTGCGCGCTATTGGATTTCTCATCAGATCTAATTTAGATAGCCAATCGCGCGCGCTTATTTCAATTTTATCGCTCGCGTCGCGACTATTATGCGTAGCCATGCTACGGGGGCAGATGCAGTATTCTATTATACGCCTCGCACCCATTTATCTACCGAAGCGGGACAGAAGATAACTGTTGAGCAATCAGTAGTACTTCGTTATTTTGACATATCCAATCCAAACCGCTTATTCTCATTCAGCATTAAAGTGAAACTGAGCGCTTCTCCACTTCAATTTACTAGAACAGGCCGGCGCGGACCAGCTACACACGATTTATATAATAAAAAGTTGGCTAACGAGAAACTAGGTTATACTCGCACTATTGACAGAATTTGACTATTTGGCGTACAAAAACTGAACTTCGTCTGCGCAGCAGTTTTATGGTTAATATGTTCAAATCAAAGAACGTTTTAACTTTTATATTATAACCCTTACCCCACCACACTTATGCCAACCGAGGTCCTCACAGGTACTGTACACTTACCACTACACGTAACACTTGACAAGATCATTGTGTAACTTTACCACTTAGTTTTTCTGAATGATTAGCAAAGTTCAAGTTTGATTTTGAGATTAGTTTTCTCTACCTCATTGTGGTGGTCAATTTTTATCATTTTAGTATTATATTTAGAGAAACTATCGCGAATATTAAATACCAAAAATGGCCACCGAAATTACGTAGACAAAAATAATCTGAAAATTACTCTCAAAGATGTTAAATTTTATTGTGTTTGCCTATCAAATAAAGAATTTGAATGAGGTTTGAATTCTTCAGCATCAAGCATGCTTGCAATCCAACTTTAAAAGCTTCGTTTGTAATACTAAGTACTATGCAGTCGCAAGCAGATCGCCAATTTGTACGTGTCTACAAAAACATTTGTGATTGGTCACAAAACAATTTGGACTCAACACATATATCCATGAAAAATTCGTTATTTTGATTGTGTGATAGTTTTGACATGACAAAGGCGATAATTCATGAAAATTACACACTGATCTTCACTATCAATACATAATTTTAACACTTGCATGACAATTTCTTGGTAACAAACTTAGAAATACTGTGTACCAACAAACTAGAGTTAAAGTAACTAATAGTTAATTACTTTGAACGCTTGCTAATGATAATTGAACTAAAATAGATATAGAATTAAGAATACAAGTAAAATAGAATTAGATAACCCCCTTATTGTGTGAGAGGCATGTAAGTATTTGAGAAATAAATAAAAAGACTTGTTTAATGTAGACAAAATTAGTAAATAATGAATTATGTGACTAAAACAGCATCTACCTTTTTTGAGTTCGTAGAAGCATGCTACCTTTAAATAAATTAGTGTTAATTACATAGCTAGTTAGGTTTAAGAGTCGCAACCATGACCCATAAGACATCATATCAAAAGGCTTTATAATGATCAATGCCCACATTTCAAAAAATATACACCGTAACACTTTTTATACTTTCTGATGACCTCGGTGGCCCAGCGATACTCCCTATGGGCACTCAATGAAGATTCTCGATTGGATCAATTTAGAAGACTATGTTTTCTAAATTTGCTCTTGTCTCTTTTTCTTATCGTGTCTTTAGTTCTCAAAATACAGGGAGGCCTAGTTTGAGACCAGGTAATTGGTGTGATCGTCGAGCTGTTGTAACTTACTGACAAGGTAACCCTGAAGTAGTGGCACAAGTATTGATTTTTGATTTACATGCTGATGTCAGTGGACGAAATTATTGGAAATTCCGCACCATTGCGAGGGTCCCAGATCTAAATTGGTAAAAAAATCTTGATTATATATATGTATGTATATACATACACATATACGACATTCGCTTTTGAAGGGTAAGCGAGCTGGTGAAATTACAGGCACATGGGACTTCTCCACTTATGTGTCAGGTTAACGAGCGCAGTGGCACTGTCCCCCAAAGTTTTGCGATTTAAAGCTTTGGGTAGCACTGCAAATGGCGCACGACTTGCTCGTCCTGTCGCTTAATATATATAAAAAAAAAGAAAGTGAGATTATAAAATGGCAATGTTTATATTGATATAAATAAGAATTAGGCCATAAAGTCTTCTTCTTATCGTGTAGATGGCATGCACTGTAATGCTTGCCATCGTGGTGAAAGGAATTGCCAAATTGCGTCTATTCTAGGATTTGGAACCCTCGGTGCGCGAATTTACTTTCTCTTGGCAGTTTTTTATCATTAATTTGCACTGTCGCACTGCTGAGCGTACACCCTTCTTTTCCGACCTCTCCCTGCCGGTGGCATAATGGCTTCCATTCTTTTGCAAATCATCTCTCCACGTTTTTTCCGATACTTTCTGTAAAACTTATAGTTAAGGCTCAAGCTATTTAAGCCTTAAATGCAGTTTTTACGAAAATTTTCCAAATAATCTTTAATATTTTTCACAATACATTTTGTTTCGTAAGTACTGCAGAGCTTTGTTACTGTCACATTGCACGCTGTTTGTCAAGTGGTGTCGATTTTGTTATCAGTTTATTAAACCAGTTAATATATGTTTATTTATTTTTATAGAACAGAACTCGTAACTTTTTACTGGTATAGTACGACAACACATTAAAGCATACTGGAAAACCTTTTTCTTAATGACACAAAATTGATTTTGCAATAGTGAACCTAAACCTATTCAATTCAAGACTAAAATCAGCATCATTTTACAAATAAATTATGTCAAATGTGTTACCTTACTTTTAATAGCATAACAACTTCGACACCAAGTTATTAATAAAATTTATGACCTCTATATTCCTATGTGCACTACGTTGCGTATTTTCCGTAGAATAAGTTCTCGATGCGGGCGCGTGCGTGGACCGAGCCCGCAGTTGACGAGAACGCTGAACTACGTCCGAGGGAAACGCCTAGAGTCGCTGCTAGATTGATACAAACTGCATCGCCTAGATTACTTAATGAAAAGGTAATGAAGACATTCTGAATGGAATTAAAGAAGTATGAGGGTTTACTCTCGTTCTCCAAAAAACTACTGTCAAATAAGCAATACTCGATAAAGTTAAAAGGTAACGTCAAGTATAAAGCTTCATACTTGACATTTTGTCTTTTATTGTGGTCGAGTATTACTTATTTGACAGTAATTGTTTCGGTAGGGTTGCGGATGGAGAACGATAGTATAGGGCCTGATATCGACCCCTCCTACGTAAGTATCGTATGTCGAAATTACCAAGTTTACAGGGGAGCCTTTTAAAATTCTGAATTCACTGAAATAAGCATAACACGTGACTTTAGCATTTCTCAGTTTTATTCGGCAAAGCCCGTTACTCATATAGTATTATAAAATGCTCGATATCGGTTAGATGATCTATGATGGTCTACTAGATGATCACTCTATGTGAGTAACGAGCTTTGCCAAATAAAACGGAGAACTTTAAAACGCTCCCCTGTAAACTTGGCATTTTCGACATACGATACTTTACGTAGGAGGAGTCGAATCTGGTGATGAGGTCATTAGTAGAAATAAGAATACGCAGTAAACAGATAGTACAGATGGCAGCACATCAAACTACACGTTTACGGATCTTGTTCCGTTACACTGGGGGGGATATTCGGACAAAAGTGTGTAGTTTGATGTTCTGTTGACTGTACGTAACATCTCCCTCGAAACCCCAGAATATTTAAAAATAAAGGAAAAATTAAAATAAAATACTTCAGTTTGCATTTTTACTTACAATTGCAAAACTTTCCATGGCATGTTTTGGCAAACATTTTTTTTATTGCATCAGATAATAAAGTACTATATTTTGTGTAAAATTTGAGACGGCATACGTTTCTCTTTCCAGGGTGAACCCCAAGGTCTTCAGGCGCCGACGGAGCTCCTAGAAGCAAGAGTGAGAGACCTCAGCCTCGCCCTCAACATGAGTACTGCGCTTGCGCTAGCCGAGTTCATTGAAGATGAGATTGTGGCGCCACCTATGCCGCTTGAAGCAAGTATTTTCCACCACGAAACAATGCTAGTTATTGGTCAGATTAGCACCCTCGCCATATTGCATTTTTTTTGTGATTTGTATTTACATGCGGTGGTACCTGCTGAATGAAAGGTTTTTTTTACCATATCCTAATGAAATCTATGTCAATTGTGTGTAACGTACAAACGTAATACAATCTCGGGAATTCCCACAACCATCGATCGCATCTAGATTAAAATCAGTGGCAATGTAAATTGAGCCTTTGACGGAAAAAGTTATAAACTCCATCTATTAGTATTGTATAGTTCAAAATGTGTCCTGCCTTTTACATTTGTTACATAAGGCGAATGGTATCTTGGTTACGTAGACTTTAAGTGTGTAAGGTGGACGCGGCGGAATTAATTGCACGGTGTTTAATCATTTGCGTTTTAGAAATAAAATATACTCTCTTACTGTAAAATGAGCTCAAAATCTGCGGACGTATTTATTACGGAAAACTGAAGAGAAAATTACATTGAAATATCTCTAATAACAATCGAATGAAACTGATTTTTCTGTAGATGAACGTAGTAAAAAATGACATTTTTTGGGAAATTTGTGATTTTTTTTTTGTCGTGAGATATTCGTACTCTACCGGTATTTTTTGTTTGAATTATCAATAAGATAAAGTTGAATTCATGTTTTTAATTGAGGTTGTTGCGAATATCAGCATCCGCATCTGCGGATAACTGCATAAATAAAATATCCGAATATGCTGATATTCATTGCAAATGTTCGAGTCGTGACATGACCTAAAAGGCACGCTGGAATAATTTACGAACCTTCCAGAAACAGATTGTAAGTCGAAAAAGCAGCGCAGTTGTTGTTTTTAATATAATAACTTTGATAAAAACCCACATCGATTAAGTTGGCACGTTGATTGTTTTCATGTAGATTTATTCTTTTATTAATAAATATAACAACATCTTCGAAAAAATATTTTATTACAATACCAAAGAAAATAAATAGAAAGCTTTTTCAAGTAGATAGATTCAGTAAGGATGTACATTTTTTTAAATACCTAAAGTCAGCATCCGCTGATGTGTAACAAACCTGCATCAGCAACAACCCTGTTTTTAATGTCGATAAACCGATTTTCCGTCGAAATATGTCAAACCGTCTATAGCCGAATTTACATTTGTCTGACGTGTCGTGTCGTCACGCGTCATTTAATATGGTTATATTTATATTAATGTGTCGGAATCTCAGGTGACGGCTTGTGCTGTGTGTATCAAACCGATACTGTTCTGACGCGTCACGACACGATACGTGAGACAAAATCCGGCTTATTTTGGATCTCATTTCACCTTAATCATCTATTTCAGATACTAATAGAAAACATAAAACTCCACTTAGAAGAAGATCGTCCTACGCGTTCCATATCATCCCCTCCACCTCAACCGTTAGACATAGACCTGACTACGCTGCGATTAACTCGCGACGTCACCGGCGTCGTCCGTCTAGGACCCCCTATGTCGACCCCGTCAACAATCGCGTCGCCGGCAACGCCGCAGCCTCAACCAGAGCTAGATGCTGCGAAAGAACATATTAACAGATTAAGTACAGAGAATGAGGAGCTACGAAAACGATTAGTCACTTTGGCTAGAATAGCCGAAGACAATAGAGAATTAAGAGCGTAAGTTTCTAGACACGTAATTACGTCTATTTGCTAAATTTTATTCAAATCGGTTACCAGAAAGTGAACGAAACCGGATCCATCCCGTAGTTTTCCACCCTTAAAGGTGGAATATTTTGTTCAAATTTAAATGGAACCAATACTGAGGCACGCTCTTTTCAACAAATCAAAATTGGTTCACAGATAATCGCGTAACATAATTTTTTGTTTTTTTTTTTTTTTAAATAACGCACACACTCAACATAGCCCCGCACTAGGGAAACCCTGTGTCGCGGGTGCCATGGACACACACATAGACAACCACAAATTACACCCAAACTCACGAGAGAAATAAATGTAAGCCATACAAACATTTCTCCCGGCCCGGGAATCGAACCTGGGACCTCTGCGTGGCAGTCCGGCATGGTAACCGTTCGGCCACGGAGGCAGTTCATGTCACATGGTAGTGAAACATTGTGATATTCATTAACCTTAATATTAAAAGGCTATTTTTACTGAAAAAGAGGAAAATGACATGACACAATCTTTTAATTTGCAGGAAAGTAGAAGAAGCGTCCGTATTGCGTCAGTGTGTGCATGCAGCGCAGCAAGAAGCAGCTAGTCTGTTGGCTGACAAGCAGGAGTTGCTGGAGGCCGTTAGAATACTTCAGGTAAATTTTTCTAACGCGACGTTCAATTTGACTGTCATTTCAGTTGTATGACATGACTATGAAGATGTTTTACGCTATATTCTTTTAAAAAAGTTTGTAGACAATGGCTCCTGTCTGAAATCGAGTAGGTATTGGTCCATGGTAAAAACACTAAATAAACAAATGTGGAATTTTTAGAAAAACACTTGACAACCTCTATATAATTACTTGATATTTTGTATACACTCCGCTTGCCGGTCTGGTGCAACAAGCAAATAGCTTTAGGAGAAGACTGGAAGTCAGTTAAGCTGAGTCTTTTTCCTTTTTGTTTAGATTACTGTTTTATTGTTTAACGATTCGCTTGTATTATGGTTTATGAGTTTAGAGGATATAAGATAATATAACATTACATTCATGGTATTTTATTTATCACCACATATAATATAGAAAATTTTCGTGATATACTTACGAAGTAACATGTGGAAGCCTATCTCTGCCTGCCCTGAAGTAAAAAGAGCATAGAAGCACATTACTGTTTTTCAGCTTTCACGTCGTCGAAACGCAAAACCTGTTTTTCACTCTCATTCATCATTATCAACCCATTTATATGTGCCACTGTTGGACACGGGTCTCCTCTCAAGAGAAGGTTAGGGCTATAGTCCGCCACGCTGGACCAATGCGCGTTAGGGACTTCACACGTTTTCCGAGGTTTGGGAGGGTTTCGCATATAAATTCCGAAAAATTCAGAGGTGTGAGTCCAGGTCAGGTCTCGTTCTCTGACCGACATCCGTCCGAAATAATTACTGTGATGAATAAGTAATACTCGACCATAATTAAAATACAAAGTCGAGTATGAAGCTTCATTCGCATCATGCGTCATTAGGTGGAAAGGAAGAAGTACACCAGCCGTAACCTTAGTGTCACCGCACCGTCTGGCTCTAATCATTTACTGCATCCAGCGATACCGGCGACGTTGTAATACGTGTCACGGCTTCATTACTCCACAAAGTCTGCCGATATTGTGGAGTATATACGGGTGGAAGCCAATGCTAACCTGAGGGCCAAGCAGTTGGTGTCCCGCCACTATGTAAATTTTAATTAATTTGTGGCGAGAGTACCAACTCAACACTGTCGACCTTCATGAAAGATGAGTTTTGGCCGAAAGGGGGCCATGTGCCGACGTTTCTGAGACCGGCTATCGGACACCCATGTTGCGTCATACGTCGCAGACAATACGTGTAAGTAATAATTAGTCAGTAGTGTTTTGATTGTATTGTTATGTATGTTAGTCTATAGGGTATATATTTATGGGCCTTTGCTATCTGAATGCGAATAAATAAATAAAATAAAATAAATAAAAATTACTTATTTTACAGTAATTGTTTCGGACGGAGAATGTACAGGGCCTGATTTGAAACCCCGGCCTCGGCTTGAGAGGCTGTACTGCCTTCCATTAACTAAAACGCGGCAAAGTGACTAATGGTCAAATATCCGTTTTAAATATAAATGAAAGTGCACAAAATTGTCTTTCAAAAACAGTTAAAATTAGTTAATGTGTTCGACTTATCGGAACTTACCCTAACGATGCATAGCCGAAATATCATTAAACAATTTCAATATTTTAAACAGGCGGTGTAGGTCAAACCATTAGGCTACTCCGGCTTTTTTCAAACTTTTTCGCTCTTACTACATGCACATAAAGCTTTTTCAGACCGACTCAAGCAGATTCCGGGCCGATAAGTGTAGTGACTCCCTAAACTGTGTTATGGTATATTTTCAGGAGCAGATTTCAGGAGGTTGTCGCGGGAAAAGATAGCGGTCCCGCGGCGGTCAGCCGCCGAATTGCCTTGACTGTACCGCCTGCTGCGGTGATCACCAAACTTAGACCCTTGTACATCTTAATATTAGTATAGAACAACAGTTCAAGTTACACTGGTATATTTACCTACTTAGATTAGACCTAGATTAGACGTTTTAAGACCCACGTTCATCTTACCACAAGTACAACCGTCAAAGGTATATGGGTTGGTCGTTGTAAGATCCTCGTTTGCCTTATTACAATTATATAGAACAACAATTCGAGGCTTACTGGTAATTGGGGAATACTATAGTAAGCAGCACTAAAAAGTATTTATCTGCTGCCAATAAAGAAGAAAATAATAATATCTAGTTGGTACCTTTGTTACCCGCCAGTATATTGACAACCAATCTAAGGACCGTATTCTAGAACTCTACTCAATGCTCAAGTCAGGATTTGAGTATGGTTTAAAGCACTCGAAATCATACTCAAGGCCCTGCCATTAGGGTCGTATTTCCAGTACTTGTGTTTCCAATGCAATCCTGACTTGAGCATTGAGTAGAGTTCTAGAATACGACCCTTAATGATGACATCAATCCTTAATTTGACAGAACTAAAATTATTGTTTTCCCTTTAACTCTCTAATAGTTTCAAAGAGACAACAGTATTTTGGATCTACCAAATCAGAGTTCGATATTCAAGTCTAGAAAAGTAAATACACCTTGCATAATAATACCAAAATAAAATGGCATAGACATTGAGTTCAACGATTACTGGACATTCTTATTTGACCAGTAATAATAGAGCCTTATATGTTCTGCTATTAGTACAAAATACGAGTCCATCGTACACTGGGCGATTAAAAAAGGCAAGGGCTTCATAATATGGCAACAGAGGTGTGTAAATAATGGAAAGCAAAGACCACCGTACATAGATCTTTTTAAATCTTACTTTAATTATAAAGAGAGAGTTCTATTTAAAGAGGTGATCTTAGTAAAATCGTATTTAGCAAATAATAGGATTAAAATTGTATTTAACTTGTGCATTTATTATTATTATGTAAGAAACGTCTGTATACTTTTTTTCAACAACAATCGAATAAAATTTGAGGGGTTGCCATTTTTTGTAAAATTCTAAACAGTCGTGTAGTTATCGTCAATTTTATTGATAGATTGTGAAATGAGATCAAATTTTGCAGAAACGTGTGAATAGTGAACGTTATGAAGTTCATTGATTAATGATTGCGTTATCGCCTTCATTCGTCTTATTTTGGCAGTTTGTCCACTGGTAGGTAAATCATTTCGTGAACTACATCGACACGATGTTTCCTTCCGAGATGACTTATATTTTTATTATACAGATTTTTTACATTTTATCAATTAATTATATTCAAGTGAGATAATTTAATCGTCAGTCGATAGAATATTTATTGGCTGTAATCACAAGCTGCTTAAAAGCTGGCAGCCCTTTTGTTCCTAAATGTCTGTGGACGTCGACTATTCGTCTAACGTTTCCCCGCCTTCGCCCGTTCAGTACCTTCGCCAAAGAATCACAATAACACAAATAGAATATTTGTTTATGATTTTGTTGAAATAATGTGACCTAGTTTAAATATGAGTTCAACTTTTATTTCCTTACAAAATCCATACGGATGGGTTCAGTGTCATATATAGTTTGTCAGGTTCACAGATATATCAGTATTTGCTCGTACATTTGTGGGAGTTCAGTAAGTAAAAGAAATAAGATAAAAGTACATGAACCTTAAAACTAGTAGAACAGAGTGTACATTTGCAAGATAAAATTATTACATTCGCGAAAGAATGTTTCCCATAGTTATACTGGAAATTTCGCTCGGTCCTTTGGTTAGTTTGAAAATCAGTCGTTAATTTCAGAAATTAAAATATAGCCAATTTATGAGTAATTTTAACGCGAAACTTCCAGATAAAAATACTTTATAACTGTATCGGCAAAATCATATTAAATAATTGAAAAAAGTCTTGTAATTGCGTGTTAATAATGTAGTCATTTTACGTCGTTTACTTTAGAATAGACGTGCGCAACAGTTCGACGTGTGGTAGGTTCGTGTAATAAGTCACTGCCATACACACACCGCCACCTCTATCTCCGTCGTTTACACCATTTTGTCACGACTTATACATACTAGTCATACTATAGTTCGTTACAATCCAATTTGCATAAAAGGTAAACAAACAGGTCATTGACCCGACTATAGACAGTTTAGTGATGGCCAATAGTTTTAGATTAAGAATCAGTGACGAATGGTTTCAACAGACAAACAAATCTGTTCATCAGTTTTGTCATGTAGAAAGAATGATTGTTAGTAGATTGAAGGCACAAATTTATAGAGCGAATGTGGATAGCGGCGTGTAAAGAGGTAGACCTCGGCGTACATATCTCGATCAGATTGGGGACGGCCTTAAAAAAGCTGGGTTTAAAATATCAACATTAAACAGGCATGTATGAAGAGACTGATCAGAGTAGAGAAGGCGAAGAAGGTTTGTCTCTGCCTATCTCTGTGGAAGACAAGCGTGATGATTTTTTATTTCACGCAATTACACAGCATTATAACAAAATACCAAGGCACTGAAATTCGTAAATAGACAACACAGAGCCTCAAACATTCATCACATACAGCCACCCACCAACTTACCATCCAACTAACCATCACAGTCTGGTGCAGATACGAGAAACGCATTTAGACATTGCAGAGCGCGAACAAGCGGTGATTCACTGTGTATATGTAAATAAGTTTAATTTATTACTTCGCTACAACAAGTAGTAAGACATTCGTTATTTTAATTAAAACATTGTTATTGAAGTGTCATTGTAAACAGTGAGCTGGCTTGCGAATAAATATTTTTCATACATGACGTATAAAAGTAAACCCAAAATTTCCGAAATCATAATTTAAAATGCGCCTTGGTATCTTTATAACTGAATCCGTGGCTGTAAAGTTACCATGCTGGTGTGCCACGCAGATCTCCCCGGTTCGATTCCCGGGCCAGGAGGAAAATTTATATGGCCTATCTCTTATTTCTCTCGTGAGTTTGGGTGTAATTTGTAGTTGTCTATGTGTATTTCCGTGGCACCAACGATACAGGGTTTCCCTAGTGTGCAAATTTTCAATTTACCAATAGATTATTAGACTATAATTGAATGAACCGAATTTTTTTTTTCACGCAGCACTATCACACACACAACCGTAAACTACACATTTTTGTACATTTTTCTCACTTTTGTACTAAGATTTTTCAAATACGATTTTAAGATGTTATTCAAATGAATATTGTTGGAAAAAGTGGTGAGATATCAAGTTGACACCTTCATAATACAAATTAAAGTGGTACTTGTTCTGTTTATTAAGAGATAGCTTAAGAATTTTAACCAAACCGGTTTGTTTATCTTTTATGCAAAATGGATTGAATCAAAGTACATATCTGCTCATGTCCAAAGTAAGACATCAAACTTCACACTTAAGATTTAAAGTCCACTCTGTACCTCTAACAATTAGGTTGAGATTTACAAAACCGACTTTATTTTCAAGTAAACAAAAGTGGCGAGCTAAGTAAGATTTTCGTGTTTAAAATACAAACTTTGCCTCAAAATAAAAGTTAATAAATTAACATTTAACATTAAAAAAACAATTCATTTTGCTGAAACTTAGGCAAACTTCGTGTTATAAATACGAAAATTATTCTTAGCTCCCCATTTTTACTAAGTCGAAATCAAAATTCGCTTTATAAACGTCAGCCTTAGAACGGTTCAAAGTCTTAAACTGGCAAACTTGATAACAAATCTTGTTCATGTTAATCAAAAAATAATAAATCTTGAGTGTAGCACTAAGATCATCGAAATATTTATCGTATTTATGGCATTTTAGTTTCGTTATGACGAAATTTCATGGCTATAGCAAAGAAATTTTTAATATTTATTTAAAAGTGACGTAAGCGTTAAGCGCTTTCACATCGGTGACACAACATAAAACTGTAATGATAAAAAGATATGGAAGTCAATCTAAGCATTTTGATAGTACAATATTAATGCGATAGACTCTTGCTTTGTTAAAGAACCTGAAAGAAACGATAGGTAAATCTGCCAAGGCCAAGTCACACTGAAAGAGCAACGGCCATAGGAGCATTTTTGGTGCAAAGTATTTCTAGCATTTTGAATCTTATTTATCTTCTGAGAAAAGTTCGTGACCGTCAGGAAAGCTAGTTGCCTACGGCGTCTGGCACTGAGTGTATATTCAAGAATTGCTACCTTTTCAAAATAATTGCTACCTTTGATATATTCTGAGAATTGACCAGCCATTTAGATATCAGGATCGCTGGCGGCCACGTTGTTCAGCATGAAGGGAGCAGATTTTCCAGGAGTATGCATTACCAATAATTGCTATCTATTTGCTACTTTCACGAATTAAATAATACGGCACCGCGACGCCTTGTAGCGGCTAGTTCAAAGAGGCGCCGTACTAGCTCCACCGGGCGCTGCTTTTCCAGTGTGTCTTGACCCTTACCATAAGTAACGTAATCGACATCTTAACGAAATCGAGTTATTAACATATCTGAAATCAGCGAAACGAGATCTGTAACCCCCTATAAGTGATTTTTTATATCTTATTCAGTTTCAGTTTTATTGTTAAGTAACATCCGCGTAAATGACATTTCTCAAAGAAAATTGAAATGAAAAACGTTACCAAAATTTAAATGCATTAGTATAGATATGACACGGAGGGAACAGAGATGGGTATAGGATTAAAACCAAATCAATCCGCCCAGGCTTTAACGGGGTTTTTATCCAAAGCGCTGGGTTTTAATCCATTCCTGCCCAAAATCGTGAGCAAAAACGGCGAATACGGTATTTGGTATAAGTCCATACTTATTACAAATTTCAATTTTCAAAATCTATTTCAAAGGAAATAGAGGCCATTCACTCACTTCTAAGCTGAACGATTCTATTTTACGAAAAACTATTCAAGTGCATACATACGATCTAACGATTTGTTGCATGTATTTAATTCTAATGCGATTTTCAAGTGAATTTTGTAATAATATCATTAAATCTTAACAAAACTCGATTTACAACAAATATTTAGCTGTAAATAGTTTTTGCTCTCGACTTTGGGCATTAATGAGTTTTAACCCCATTTAAACCAGAGAGGAAGTAATGGAGTGAATATTTAGGTCATCTTGTGACTCCTAACGGTCTGTTTTACTATTTAAGTGTTGTGTGTTTGTGTAATGGGGACACACTATAATAAAATTAGTACAAGTTAATAAAATTTCAACTAACGTTCAATAAAATTATTATTATATAGCTTTCGGTGTTCGTATTGTATATGAGCCTCTCTATAGAATAATAGCTATATATTCTAGAAATATCTAAC